ATTATATTAACAAGTCGCTATACAATAGTATTACTTAAAATACAGATATCCTAATTATAAACAAATATATCAAATTACTCCTAATACTAAATATCATTATATAATATCAATGAATAAATAATTGGAATAAATCAAATATATCTTTTATAAGAAAAAGAATATTAATTTAAATTAAATACTATTTATATAAATAATAGAATAAACTATAGACAAGAGTTTTTAAACCTTTAAAATATATAGGAAAAAAAAAAAAAAAAAAGCTTATTTTTGTTATTATTCTAATCTCAATACTTACAATCAATATTATACTTACACAACCCCAATAATAAGTATTACCACTATAAAACTTTCCTCAATATTCTTTTCAATATTCTTCTCAATTCTATTAACAATTTCAGTAACAATATTTACTATCTTTTTTACAAAGCAATCAATTTATTATATTCTTCTCCTATAATTTACTAGCACTTATATTATTCCTATTATAAGTTTAACAAAATATTTAATTGATATAAAAATATAATATTTAATTGATAAAAAAAACTTATAATTCTAAGCAGTAAAAAACTATTTATAATATAATTGTAATAATTATTATAGAATTTCTTATATTAAAACAATTAAAGAATATAGATTTTATATTTTTTTTGGAAATACCTAAAAGTATTCTAATTGATTTCCAAAAAGAAATAAATATCTTTAAATAATACTATAAAAATTAATAACAAAAAAAGACTGAAAATACTCTTTTAGAGATAAATAATATAAGATAATGATATAATAATAATATAATTTTATGATTTTATAATTTCAAGTTTATAATTAATAATAATATAAACAAGGTATTTTAAATATATTTGAAATAGATATTATAATCTAAATATAAGTAATAAAACTATAAATATATTTTATAATTCAAAAAGCATATTTTTACTCTATTTAAGACCTCTATATCTATATAATTTTCTTTTATTATTTATTTCAAAAAACCTTAATAATCATCAAATTTTGTATATTTTGTATAATAATAATAACAGATAAAGTTCTTTAAATTCCTAAAACTTAACTTAATAGAATATAAATCAAAAGAATATAATAATAAATATTAAATAAAAACTTTTTTTTAATAACCGCTTCCTTAATTGTATTTATATAAATATAATAGATTAATATATTATTTATCAAAATAATAAATTATAAATCAAAATATAGATTATATAAAAATAGAATATTCTTTATAATAAAATTTTCGAATAATTCGATATTACAAATTCTATAGAATATTCTTAAGGTAACATATTTATTAATAGTATATACTAATAAAAGAAAAATTTTAAAACAATTTATTAACCATCTTTTTATTTATAATTTACTCCCCCTATAATTATATTTATATTTTCAATCTTTAATATATAAATCACTATTAGATTTATTAATATAAATAATCTGATTTTGTTAAAAAAACTATATTTTATCTATCCAATTATTTTGTAATTCTATATTTCTTTAAACTACCTTAATTCTCAATTATTTTTATATAAAATCGATATACTTGATTATTCTAATAATTATCAATCTATCTACTTATATATCAAATATATTTTAAAGAAAACTATTTATTTCATCCTAATATAATTATAAGAGAATATCTAAAATTTCTATAATAATATCCTCCATCTCAAATATAATGATATTGATAAACCCTTCTATACACTTTTTAAAAGATTCTCCTTTTTTAATATAATTTAAATAATTTCTAATTGTCTTTATAATTATATAGAAATTCATTATAAGTATTTTATAATATTAAAGAATAACAGATTTATCACATTGCTTTAATATATATTCAATTCCCTTTACATCATTAAAATAAAAACAAATAAATATTATGAAAACTTGATATATAATTAAATAATAATATTAAACTCTAATTTCATTTTGATATATATATTATATCGATTAAAGGTATTATTATAAAGTTATTAATAATTTAAATTGTAATTAAATATAGTTTAACAATATTTTAGGTTTTTTTAATAAAATTTAAAAAAATAGGGGCTGGAAATTAGTTATGCATATGGGTGTAATATTCAGTCGCTTAATACCGAGGTCTAGAATGGCATCTAAACGAGATCATCAGTGGGTGTACGGACTAACAGGATAATAAAAAATTGACTTGTAAATCTCTCTTGATATATCAATTCGTATATCTTAGGAATTGCTACAATTATTTATTGGAAACGGAGTAATCAGAATGTGAAATATAATATCAAATAGTTGAAGAATAGATTTGTTCAATTTTTTAAAAATTGAAAAGTGTCCCGTCAATCTATCCACACCCTAATGGACACAAAAAATGATGACCTCTTGAACCTCTTGGGTGCTGCATCACTCCATGTTAAATTTAAGCCATGTCATATTGTGGAAGAATTGTCAACTCAAATCAATGACGCAGGAAAACTCTATTAGCCATGCACAATACAGCAATCTCGTCATCAGTACGACATCGGGAAAAGTGTTAAATGATTGATGAAATTCAATTGTTCCTCTCGGCGCTCAAAAAATTGTTAAAAAATATGTACATAAAAATAGAGACGAAGCTGTAAAAAAGCATCTTATGAAAAACCCCCATTGAATCGTTCCTACCCCTCCCTCTCAGTATAGGTTATACTTCTCTCTCTCGGTCAAATCCATGAACACATCCATATTTTTCACTGGACCTGTGATTCCGAGCGAAGGAGTGCTCTCATCCAAGACTGGAAACTTTCCATTTATCCCAGGTGCCAACTTAACATCAAATCTTCTGAAAATAATAGCAACAAAAGCGTAAACCTGCTCCTTAGCCATAACACGACCAGGGCAGTAACTGATTCCACCGCCAAATGGGCGGTAAGATGAATGTTTCAGCATGCCCTTATCTCTAACAAATCTCTCTGCATCAAAGTTCTTGTAATCTTGACCCCAGACACTCTCATTCATGTGTAGTTGTCGGGAAGGCATGAGAACATTAGATCCAGGTTGCATTAGCTTGTTGCCGATCATAGTTGGCTGTTTGACTTGACGACTCATCATAGCACCTCCGTTCAAGCGTAGTGATTCTTGGAATGTACCATCAAGATTGGGAGAATTGGCACATAGATATTTGATGTCAAGCTCACCGTCCTTCCAGCCAGCTTCCAATTCATCGCGAACTCGCTCCATAAGAGGGACGTTGTAAACAAGATGAGCAATAAGCCAAAAGGAGATGTTGTACTCATTTGAGTTTGCACTATTGATTGTTAGGACTTTATTCTTGTATATAGGAATCAACGAAACTTACGCCCAGTAGATCAATAAGAGCATGCAAGCTCTACTCTCGATATCGATGCCAACAATTTCCTGTGCCTTTAGAATCGTTCCAATTCCCCAAGCTTGACCCTCACGCTCCTTTTCTGGAAGACGAGCAAATTCGGCCATTGTCTTTTGCATCGTTTTGCGGGCTTTGGCCACCTTGGCTGAAAATATCTCGGGAAGACCGAAGAAAACCATCCAGGCACTATCATTGAAGTCCAACATGTGTTGTACAATATCCGGATTGAGCTTGTGGAGAGCTTTATCGAACATGGAAAAGGTTGCAGCTTCCACAAGGGTAGATCGACAAAGAGCTTTCAATGAGACCCGGCGAGTGAGACCATTCCTGCTCAAAGTGCAAAAGTCCATTTTTGGTGGTTGAAGTGAGTCTTTGAGTGACACGATGAATTTCTCTGACATTTCCGTCATGTGCACACCAGGGAGTAATTGTGCAATGTAAACTTCCTCAATGAGCTTGACTAGAGATAATTGCTTTGGGTTGACTGGATTCTTGTGCATATAGCATTTGTCTCCAGGAATGGGTACATGCCATGCCAACTTCAATGCTTTGCCAGTGAAGCCAAAGTTAGAAAGAATTTGAGACAAGTGACCATCCCAACTCAGAGTGGCTACATTTCTGTAGACTTCTGCGACATCCTTGGGTCCTGTAACAATATAGAATAATTGCGAAGCCACTTGAAGTGCAAAAGGCTCGTGAGTTCTGCCAGTGTAATCTCTGAAGCGCCATTGTTAGTATCATATTCCAGAAGCAATAATATACTAAGACAAATGAGAAGATGAAAATGAGAAAGTTAACATACAAGCCGCGCTCGATCAAGCTATCAGAATTCTGGAAGAAACTAAGACTGTGTCCTAGAACTAGATGGTGTTAGTGAAGGTTGAAGTATGCAATTAGAAGATCACCTACTTGGGATCCAATATGGAAGTTCGATGGGGTCTTGTGGTCTAAGGTATGGGCGAATGGTGAATCTCCACAAACGCCATGAGAGAAGCCAAGTGCCGAACAGTGCTGCTGCGAGGAAGTACTGTGAATACTCGCTTGTGGATACAAATCTCCAAGCTGCGTTGAGAAACATTGTGAGATAGTCTACTCTCTGAAGAGCTGTGTGGACTTGAGAATATCTTGAGCAAAGACAATATGCGTGTGAAGACAAAAGAAGTGCTTGATGATCTCTTCGATTGGAGATCCAAGAGGATCGACATCAGTAGATATACTTTCTCACTTTTGCCTCCTCCACTGTTGAACATGATATGTTCAGCCCCTAAGACAGGACTTTGCCGATACTAGTCGCATAGTGCTGATTGTGCTATGGGGTGCTTGTTCAAATTTCCAGATGCGCGGTTCCCAGATTGGCCCATCACCTAGGCGTCAATTTGATATTGAGAATCTGCCTTGAGATTCAATCACAAATCACTATCACGAACTATCATGATGCGATATTACCCAAATGGGACATCTCCCGGTCGTTAATACTTTACGAGATCAAGGTTGTCTGCATGGACCACCTCTTCACATCAAATTTATATTGGAAGCTAAAATCTGCGCACTAAATTTTAGTGTCACATCAGGTGACAGGGGGGTTTAAAAATTCTCCCCCTTGTCGAATTTTATGTACACAGTGCATGATTGTCGCCCCGTAGATAACTTGCGTATCAAAATGAAGGGAGAGATACATACCAAGCCGGATATACATCGTTTACCCTCAGGCTTCAGCATAACTTCGCCTCTTATGCTGAGATCAGCTAGAAGCGATACTATCTCCAGTTAGTCAAGCCTTATACATTTCTGGAGGTCACCATGATATCCGGCAAAACACCCCCGCTGGGCAAACGGTGAAGGCTGTTGGTCACTCATGCCATGCTAATGCAATTTCTTTTCTACCAAGAATGGAGAGTGGTGGGTAGGGGGTTGACAAAATTCATGAGGTCCAAATTGCTGAAGTTTCACGTCCATCTTTGCTTTCATATACAAAAAGCATTTTACGCCACCTGACGAAAGATTCACGACTTCAAGTGGTTCACGATCATCTACCAGCCATGACATTGAATCAAGACGAAGCTCTGTCCAGCAAGGACACTGTCTCTATCGATAAAGATATGGGCGCTGTGGCCATTACGGATGTTTCAAGCCCCGCAAGCCTCCAAACATTCGAGTCCGATGAGCTCTTTCTTCACTCATGGCGTCTGGCGGCTGTCATCGGGTCTCTATGCTTGGGAATCTTTCTTCTAGCATTGGATATGAATATTATCGCTGTTGCAATTCCCAGAATTACATCTGATTTTCATGCACTGAATGATGTGGCCTGGTATGGTTCAGCATATCTTCTTACCGTTACGGCATTCCAACCTTTGTTTGGTAACCTGTACAAATACTTCGATCCTAAGATCGTTTATATGGGATCAATAGCCTTATTTGAATGTAAGTACTTTCACCTTGCGAATCAATTTAGAGGTATCTGACATGACATAGTGGGTTCTATATTATGTGCGGCAGCCCCTTCCTCCAGTGTTCTCATCGGAGGCCGATCTGTTCTTGGTTTCGGGGCAGCTGGAATCTACCAGGGAAGTTTGGCCATCGTCAACTTTGTGGTAGAGCTCGAAAAGAGACCTATGTACCAAGGCATAGTTATTAGCTCTTTTGCTATTAGCGTGTGTATTGGCCCTGTGCTTGGTGGTGTCTTCACTGACAAAGCCTCCTGGAGATGGTGCTTTTGGATGTAATGGATTCCGTTTATCCTTGAAATTCAACAAACACTAACAAAGTTATAGTAATGTACCTATGGGCGCTGTTGTACTTGTTTTCATCGTACTATTCTTTCGAATTAAAGGCGTACGAAACTCGAACCGTGCCTTAGATCTTCCAACAAAATTGAAGCGTATGGATATTGGCGGAGTCCTACTATTTCTCGGAGCTATATATTGCCTTCTTCTAGCATTACAATGGGGTGGGCAGACTGTGCCTTGGAAATCATCCAAAGTTATTGGATTATTCGTTGGCTTTGGCTTACTCATGATATCCTTCGGCATCCTACAATGGAAACGAGGCGAACATGCCACAATTCCCTTGCGTATCCTCCGACAAAGATCAATCCTGATGGGCAGTATATTCCTCATGACATTTGGCATGATGAGTTTTGTCTATGCTTATTATCTACCCATTTACTTTCAATCCATTCAAGGCGTCACAGCAATCCAAAGTGGTACCCGATTCATCGCGATAGTCCTTCCTCAAATCATTGGCCTGTCACTTACTGGAGCTGTGGTTACAAAATGGGGATACTACGTTCCATATATGATTCTTGGAACGATTATCGCAATGGTCGGTGCCGGACTTCTTACTACGATTGATACCAACACTTCTACGGTCAAATGGGCCGCATATATGGTAATCAATGGATGGGGAACTGGAATGGCACAGCAACTTCCATATACCGCGTTGCAAATTGTTTTGAGTGAAGAAGACGCTCCTACTGGAAATGCCATTGCGGTATTCATGTATCAGATTGGTTCTTCCGTCTCTGTCTCCATCGCACAATCTCTCTTTCTATCAAGATTACAGACCAGTGTTCCAGCTCATACCACTGCTGTATCAGCAGAAGCGGTTATTAAAGTTGGCGCCAGTGGCTTACAGGATTTAGCCGGTGGCTCGGAAATTGTCTTAACTGCCTTGAGAGAAGCATACACCATTGCTATTAGAGATGCTATGTATTATGCTTTGGCGGCAGCTTGTTTGTCCCTGCCATTTGCTTGCGGAATGCAATGGTTCAACCTCAAGAAGGTCGCAGAGGAGAGGAGAAGAGCAAAAGACGAGGAGAAGCCAGTTGGGCTAGAAACCTCGGTCATGATGGACAGTGTAATTGGTTCTGAGAAAGTTTGAATTGTATGAATACCAAGATATATTTTTTAATAATGTAATAGATTAACTCTACCATGCTCTTCCTTCAGTGAATCTTCAGATAGAAATATTGACTTTGCCTTCACCAATTTTCACCAGATGGAATAGATAAAAATTCATGAGCATAATTTTTCATTTCATTCTGTGTGTTGCTCTGTAGTGATGCAGTTGATCTGTAGTTTCATTCATAAATCGTAATTTCTGTTGCGCCATCCAAAATGCAAATCTCTCCTCCCAGTTCCTATGACCCATTGCCATCCAGCCCATCCAGCCAATGAAAGATCAGAATGTAACCCAGACCCTAACCTATAACCAAAACCAAACCGCAGCCATAATCGTAACTACATTGCATATTCCCCTCTGCCCGCATCAACGCCATAACAATGTTAAGACCCCCTAGGTCTAAACTCACAAAACTACATATGTAGTTGGTCGTCTTCGGGAATACCAAATTCCCGTCTGATACTAATGTTAGCTTCAAATATTTCTGAATGCTTTCAGCGCCATAATACGTACCAAAACGCAAAGGATAGTATCTAAGAGGCCATAGTTAGTCAAAATTTCATATAACCAGACACATAAAAATCACAAACTTACAATCTAACCAATCCAAACTTTCAACCGCGAATGCCGCCTTTGCAACTATTCCGAGAATAATTAAAACGATGCACGATATCTGAATTGGAGAATTGTGTGTAGCTTCGGAGCTACCAGAGTATTGGGAAGCAGAAGTTGAGTGTTGAAGTTGGGTGAGGCGCTCATTGGCGAGGAGAGCGGGGAAATGCATGTTGGAGTACGATTACGTGCGTATGGATGGGGTTCAGGAAAGAATACCCTTTTCAGATATGATAGCAAAGCACCAAGTATTTGATCTCTTGTTATACCTCTGGCTTTTTTAAGGTTTCCTCAGAGTTGAAAACGGCGTTTCGAATAGAAGCTTGGCGTGGCTTGCTTGTGATATGATGTCGATACCTAGTAACAAACAGGTACAGCCTAGTTGGTATCAGATATTAGATCGGCATCTTTGGACACGGCTGAGCACGGATGGAGAGAATTGGCGGATGGTAAATTTAGCGAAGCCACATGTGCGTGAGCGGGGGCGGGTAACCTAGCCTATCCACATAGCACAGTGAATAATTTAGTGTACGGAGTAGGTAGTGGGTAAGAGATATAGCCCCGGCACAGTTGATAATCGCATCACAGTGAATGCCCCAGTTATTAATGCTCCAGTAATTATAGGCCCCCAACTTTGATTCTGCACCTTTACCGACTAGCGTTTACAGGTATCGGTAAACTCCATAAACGGTATCTAGTTGCGTAACTACCTGAATGGTGATTTGCTCCGGTTTCTGTTTGTGATTTGGGGGCCGCAAATACATGTACCGGCTATGCAACGGCTTGTCAAGTGCTTACCTAGTATGCCTCATCTTATGTGAGATTTAAAGATCTTATGTTGGACAATTATTATTGACCGGTGCTCCCTTGTGTTACTTTATTGGGACTAGAATGATTTAGTCTATCAATATCTAATTATATCCCTAGGTGAAAAAAGTATAATACATAATGGCTCGCGAATAATTTGAACGACAACATCACATCACCCCATAATCACAAGCAAGATGCTTAGTAGCTTTCCTAAACCCTTACCAGTCTAGACGCGAGGTTGATTTCTCTTGACCATCCAATGATCTTCATGTAATTTGTTTTAAGCGCTGTGCCTCTTGACTACTTTCACTATCATTTCAATTCATCAATTGTGGATACTCCCATACGAAAAGTTCCATATTTCCATTTTCGGGCAATGGGCCCGAACAATTGTCATCAACACCAAAGCTTTGAAATTATCCTCTTCTGGTTTGTGAATATCTTCTGTCTTCGTCAGTCTTTGAAAGTTGCTGCCTTTTGTTACTATTCAGTCGACAATCATGGCTGGTTTTTCGTTATTCTTGGGTTTCTTCATCCCGGTGGCAGGATGGATTTCATACGTACTTTATTCTTTAGCTGTCAACTACAACAAAGCTAAGAAAACCGGTCTACCGCTCGTTATCTTACCTATTGATTCCGGTAATCCTCTGTGGATGGCCGTCGATACCAGAATCTTACCATACTTCAAAAATCTACCCTTCACCAAAAACTTCACTCGTTTCAATTATCGAGGATGGGAAATTCACGATCGATACAAAGCTCACCAGGAGATAGGCGATGCTTTTATTCTCGTGACTCCGGGCAAAAATTGGCTACAAATTTGCAATGCAGAGACTTTGATTGATATCAATGCACGTGGTAGGGAATTTACCAGACCAACAGAGATGTTGGCGATGTTAAACGTGTTTGGACCTAATCTCGGAACGACTGAGGGAACACAATGGCAGCGTCATCGCAAAATCACAGCCACTTGTTTCAACGAAAACAATAATGAAATTGTTTGGTCGGAAGTCATTCGTCAAGCTACTGGAATGCGAAAATACTGGTCATCAAAGTCCTCCATCAATACCATTGGCGATGATGTACGGACTTTGTCATTACACGTGATGTCTAGTGCTGGTTTTGGAAAATCATACCCATATCAAGGAGCAGAAGAAGAATCTGACACTCAAGGCTCTGCTAATATCAGAGATGCATTGAAACTGATTTTGGATAATTGTATCGCTCTCGTTGCATTAGGTCCAAAGAATTTGGATAAATGGTGGCTACCAAAAAGTTGGAAGCCACTTCATGAAGCAACTGTCACATTCCAAAACTATATGACAAATGCATACGAAGAAGGAAAGAAAGCTGCTGCGGACGGAAACACACATGGAAATAACTTGATGAATTCACTGGTACGTGCATCTCAAGCGGAGAGCAAGGAAGCTTCAAGCCAAGGTGGCTTGACGGAACAAGAAATTTACGGAAATATCTTCGTCTTCAATTTTGCTGGGCATGATACCACGGCCAATACATTAGCTTTTGGTATTGCCTTGATTGCTACTCGTCCCGACGTTCAAGATTGGATTGCCGAGGAGATCAACGAAGTATTTGGTGATCAAGACCCAGAAACTTCGAACTATGCAGAAATATTCCCTCGTCTGAAGCGTTGTTTGGCTGTTACTGTAAGTCATCATATTCAACCAATTCACTAGGTCCATAACCATTCCAACATATACTGACTATTCTTATAGTACGAAACAGTCCGTCTCTTCACCCCCGTAGCCATCGTCAAAACAAGCGGTCCCGAACCCCGTGAACTCAAAGTAAACGACTCAACTCACATCCTTCCACCCCACACCATGATCATTCCCAGTTACTCAGCCATGCACACTCATCCCCGTCACTGGGGTTCCAATTCTCTTGCCTGGGAGCCTTCTCGCTGGATCATCCCCGCTTCACCATCATCTTCAAACCCGGCTACTGAAACCTTTTTGGAGTTTCCAAAGGCAAACAATCCGTTCATTGCTTGGTCTGGTGGTGCGAGAGTTTGTCCTGGGAGGAAATTCTCGCAAGTTGAGTTTGTTGGAGTGTTGGTGGGTCTCTTCAAAGATTACAAGGTTAAGCCTGTACAGCTTGAGGGTGAGAGTGAGGCGGATGCAATTGAGAGGTTGAAGTTGTTGATTAAAGAGGATACCGGATTTAGATTGCTATTGCAATTGTTACATCCCGAAAGAATGTTCTTTAAATGGGAGAAGAGAGTCTGATTGCCTTGTGTGCGGGGTAAGAAGATGTTTTCGTGGAAGATGGAAGGGATATATATGCATTGTAATTATTTAGTTGTAAAGGTATAAAAGGCTCATCTTATTCTATTTAATATGTGTATTATGATTTATCTGTACAAACAGAACACCCAAGAATGAGTTTCGGGTCGTCTCTTGGGTGAATTACAAGTCGTGATTACACAGAATTTTACCTTGAGCCACGCAGGTTCTTTAATCTATTTCTCATCATCGATAGTTCGGGCTCATTGCCGTTTACGATTGCAGTTTCGTTGTCTACCTGCATAATCTCTTATCATTCACATTACCTCATTGTCCATTTACTCCAACTGTGAATTGCTACACATTCCAACTACGATTTTCTCTTGTGGTACAGATTTCAAGGGGGGGGGGTTTACCGACGAGACCTAACCAACCTTCCCTCCCTCCTTCGTAAGCATTCTTGAAGTAAACTGTGCAAATTCTATATTTCTCTTACCTCAGAGATAGTGGGGTATTTTATATCTCACCTTCACATATAAATTGCGCAGTCAGAAGGCTTACAATCCCGTTTTCTAAATTCTCTTCATGTAGCATTGTAAGCAGTTTCTCCACCCCACTATTCAAACTTACATTCATCTAATCTTTCCCAGTGTTGCGTCGACTCTCTGACTATATAACGCCCTGGAAGCTTTCGATATTTTTCCCTTCTCACAAATAAAACATTCGAAATCGAAATTATGTACAGGAAAACTTTTCGATCATTCTTATTTGTCAATAGTTCTATCGCAAATCTATTTGTTATCTGGATCCTGAAAGGGGGAGTAACGGATTTCACTCGCGCAGTTTTCACATTTGTATTGTCATACTCTCGCGCTTCTTATCATCTTTAAATATTTCTTCACCATTTGAATTCACTTTGTATCATTCCCTGTCGTTCTATATCACTTACAATAAATCTCACCATAGCTCAAACTTCAATCAGTAGAGTAAGCCCCCGACAAGTGCGAACCGTAGCAGTAGACTCATCTGACCATACATTGGCACCATTTTGCTTATTTTGGTTCTATATCTCTCCATATACTTTCTTGTATTCATTCTTATACTTCTCAGACTTTGAAAACTCTCCGTCCAGATAACTCTGGGTGATGTATACATATTGGGGAAATCCTCATGCTTTTTTCCCTCTAAAAGCTAAGTGATACTGTGTGTTTGCTCTGTGACCAGTTGGAATAGATCTTATCATTCTTTATAGAACATATTTTTTGATCTGGGGACCTCAAATCCTGGATACTAGACAGCTGATGTATCTCTTGTGATTAACAACGGGAATACAATGATGTCATTTTTCAAGAAAATTTTCGCTTGTATGGGGTGGTCAATAGACTGATGGCTTGAGGAGTTACTTGGCGCAAAGAAATATTCCTGCGAGCGTTGTAGCTGATGTCCGAAGTTGTGCCTCTTCCTTCTCTCAGATTCCAATCCTATAGATCATGATCGAGATAGAGATATTAATGAAGATCACACTTTTCTATTGGAGTCATGAAGACTGAACACTTGCTACCATTTTCCTCATCTCATCGTTACGTCTTAACAATGTGGAATGCACCTCCTAAAAATATTCATTGTACATCTCGAATACATTTTTGTTGTTCATACAGGGCCGTTACTTCTTTTAACAGCTATGCAGACTCGACAGAATCCTGATATAAATTATAAAATGAAGATAATGATTGTCACTTTGAAGCTTTTATAGTTCCCATGTTCAATTTTCTGGAATGCAGAAATAGCGCATCATGTTTAATGCAACCTAAGCTTAAGCCTCTTAGTCTTTTATTCTCTAACGTGAAACCTCAGCTACTCGCATGATGAGAGGCTAAATACTCCTCCTTCATTACTCAACGAAGCCACAAGGGTGCTGAATTGTTTTGGGCCCAGTGATTGCAAGTCGTCCGCACATTGAAAGCTATTTGTCATATTCATTCCGGGATTTGTCTGTGGGTTTAAAGTTGCAACGGACCATGATTTTCGTTGTCGTTTCTTGCCAACTAATTGTTACCACCACCTGGTGCACCCAGTTATCGCTGCCGCTCACCCTGAACTCCGTCAAAGCCGTCGATGATAGTTGATCTGCATAGTCTTTCAATAAAAAGTACTAAAAAGTACCAGAAAATACCCAAAGTTCTCTTGTTTCAAGCACACCATGGTGTTGTGACCCAATGAATTAATCCACAGTTTGCTTCCCTTCAAAGTCTTCCTCTTGCTTCTTCTATAATCTCGATAATGAAATTAAACTTCAAGAGGACTGAAGTCCTTGTGTTTTTCGTCCATAGATCCAAGATTATCCCACGCAGTTAGGTCATCGCAAAGTTAGATTTTGAGCATGTTATTGTTGGCTGCCAGATTTTAGAACACGCATGATTTGCAAGGAAACTTCAAGGACACTTAAATACATAACTACCCATAACCTTGGCCCGTGGATGTGAATGACTATTGTAACTAATTGTTTTCGACTTCCCATCAAGGATCATATCTCTGCTTAATATTTGCGTAAACTGCTCGTCAGTAAGATGGATCAACCGTTCTTCGTTGACAATACCACCTATACCCAACTTTACGGGATCAGTCCGCTGGAAACGGTACCAAGCTTTGCCGTGAAATTTGAATCTATTCACTCATAATCTGATGAAAACGAGCTTTCACATGCTGCGGGCTGTGAAACGTTTTGAACATTTTTGATTTTGCAATGAAATCATATCTTCCATTAAAATCCACATCATTCAATACGGAACTCTACGCACCAGACAAAGATTTGAGCAGGAAATCATAAATTTTGCAACTTGACACAAATTCAGCAAGCCATCAAGTGTAAAAACGATGTGCTGAACCTTATATGCATCGAAGTCTGTAGATAAAGTTCTCAGTTAAATACGTTGAGTGTATTTCCTATTGACCTCCAAGCTAGAACAGATGAGTAATACCTCCCGGAGAAGCTTATAAAATAGTATCATTCATTAAATTTAAGATTTTTTAACAGAAACTTCATGACTCTTTCTGCAACGTGATGAATTGGCTATGCTCTCTACATCTTGGACAATAGGCGGTTCTCGTCTAATCATCTCATTAGTTCTGGGGTATATATATTCTATCTTACTTCAAACTTCATGAAGCAAGTTATCGTCCGAAACCTTCATGGTAAAAAATTGAAGGTCCTGAATCCACTCGAATCGCCCTGTATTTATCTTCAAACAAACTCGAGATTAAAAAAGGTCAAGAGATCTTCATTCTCGTTGAAAGGACACATGAGCTCTGTATGTTACAACTTCCTTCTCGTTGTCGTTAGTCCCGAGGAGTGTTTGCAAATATAGATACTTGATCGTTACTATCAATAAAATTCCTCATCGCCAACGTAATCAACCATAGAAATCTTCTTACCTGATTCTAGATCACAAGATCTGGATATAGTCTTGCAGGATGACACGTAAATTGCGTTATGTCAAAGTTTAGAGACTGATACATGGTTGGAGATGAAGTAATGCCGTATTATCTTCCGCATCGGAAAGTGTAGAAGCAGAATAAGCACCTCGGATGCTATGCTTGAAGAAGATGCAAAATTCAAGCAATCGATCCTAGCGTAGATGGGCGAATAATATGTTTGAAGTGTAAAAAGACTGTTATTTTGACTTTGCTTGGGATGCTATAATCCGATCAACAATGAAGGCAATGAATGATATGGAAAAAACTTTCGCATGCCTTGTAAGACTATCCCAGATAGATATCCCAAGTAGAAAAATATTCAAGTCATTCTATTCGAGTACTCAACACCGTGAATAGTTTTTATATCAAGGATATTGCTGCCATTTAACAGAATTCTATCTTACCAAGAAAACATTGAGCTTGACTATTATTAAGACTTTCTTGTCCGTGGAGAGACGTATATGTAGATCACAAAAACTACGCACTCCCAGATATATCATGCCCACCGAGGACGATATCATTTTCAAACCAACTACGTAGAAGAGAGAGTCTAAGAAAAGCATGGAAGAATATCGAACGGTTGTTGTCGGGAAATCAAATGAAAGAAAGTAAAGAGGTGGTGATCGGCTATATACACTAGATGATAGAGATTGATTCCTGACTTGTAATTATTTCTCTGAATCATTTGCAAGGTATCTCAGTTTGGAATGCACTTGATTATGAATTGTAGGATGGAATACCGAAAACACTGACTCTTGGTTTCTAGAATTATTACAACAATTGGCTATTTCGTTTTGATATATAAAACATCTCATCCATTGTTTGGAAGATCGTATGTATTAGTTATATTGCATATTCTCAAATTTTCATAATCAAGTAGTCACAAATAGTAGATAAAGTTTATGCTCAAAAAATATTCAATTCTGTTTATACAAGACGTAAATATATAAGAAAATGACATGAAGCCCATTCAACTCATCCTCCGGCTCATTCATAAATTTTCCATCCAAGCTATACCTGATAGCCCGAATCAAATCCAAAAACAAACCATCAAAATATCATCAAAAAGTTTTCAAGTCAAAGAAGGTGCTGATTTCAAACAATCAAAAGGTTGAAAATTTATGCAGCAGTGACAGTTACTGTTACAACATCGGTAACGGTGACGTAATCAGTGATCATATCAGTGACAATGTTAGAAGGTGCAGAAGTAACAGCTGGGGCAGAGGTAACAACTGATGCTGCGGAACTGGCAATAACCGATGAAGCAACGCTAGCAACGGAGCTGGCGGCAACAACAGCGGAAGAGGAGGCTACGCTGGCGACTGGGGCAGCGGAACTGGTAGCGGCAACTTCTGCGGTGGTTTGAGCGGAAGAAGAGGCGACGACAGCGGCAGAGGAAGCAGCGCTTGAGACAGCCGATGAAGCAGCGGAAGAAACGATAGCTGCTGCGGTGGCAACTGCTCCTGAAGTACCTAGATTGTGTTAGAAATCATAATCCAAAGAGTAAGATTTGTATTGGGGAATGAAACCTTACCTTGAGCAACGGAAGCAGTAGCGGAAGCCCATTGAGTAGGACCTGGAACATCGTATGAAGCGAGGGAAGCATAGATGTTGACATTGACACCGGCATCAGTCTCGGTGTAAAGAGCAGTACCAAGAACGGTATCTGCGCTAGCTGGAACAGCGGATCCAGTTCCGGAAACCCAAAGGTTAACACATTGTGGGTAGTTTTGAGCTCCATCGGCTTGCTCAGCAGAGTGGAGTGCGATGATCTCGTGGCGGAGAACGTAGGCACCTGGTGCCAAGGACTCTGGGATGGTGACAGACCAGGAGTTGTTGTTGGCGATGAGCTGATCAGATGCCCATGTACCTGGGACGGTGGAATCATCGATGAGTCCTACACCATCGATCTTGAAGAATCCGAGGGTGGTCTTGTCGACAGTTGTGCAATCACCTCCAGTACAAGCAGCAAGGTAGTCTGAGTTATTGATTAGCAAAAAAATATATGCAAAGGGGTTTGATATGAGCATACCAATAACTGGACCGTGATGCGAATCAGGCCAGACAGTCCATTGCAAGTTAACCTCACTTCCGGCAGTAACATTAACGTATCCTTGAGCATTGGTAGCGCCCAAGTGGCAAATGATGTCGGATGTACCATAAGCATCTGGTGCAATGAAACCGTTCGATGAATCAGCTGGATCGGACCATCCAGCAACAACTGGTGCAACTTGCTCGTATTGGAAAGATGGGTTGTAACCCTCATACCTATTTGAATATAAGCTTTTATTCCCAAAACTTTATTTGAGTTTTACGTACCAAACACCATCAGCAGTGATACCTTGGACACGTCCGTGAGCAGCAACACCAGAGATAAAAGCGGCACCAGCCACAACAGCGATCTTGGAGAAAGACATTTTTGATGATAAAATCTTGAGATTGATGATTTTGATGGAAGAAGTTTTGGGTAGTTTTTCGTAAGGTGGAAAAAATGAGTGTTTGGTTTGAAAAGTTGGATAAGCTTCAATCAATGAAGTAATGAATGTAGATAGTCACCGAGGACTGTGTAAATGAATGTGATGGGTAAAGAAAGAAACGTTTGCTTGAACGATGAAGAAGTCGTAGTCAAACTGGCCAAGGGAAAGATACTTATACAAACTTTAGGGAATGGGACTTAGCCCTGTATCATTAGATGAACTGGTTAGTTGTGGAGATTCTATCTGTGTACAAGACACTGAACATCCTAGTTCTTCATGAATCGCACGACTAGATTTTGCTTGTGAAGGCAGTCGAGGGGGAATTCGCAAAAGGGCTAGAAACATGTCCAAAAAGCTTATGCTCGGCATAAAGCTTGAACGAGATTGGATAAAAATTGCTTGTGGATGATTTCGAATGAACAAAAGAAGTATTCAAGGCGGTAATTAGCAATATATTTGTTGCTCGCAAGGATATTTTGATTTGAAAAGGGTGACGACCCATACATGAATCGATTCCTTCCAAATTCCAATGTTTTCCTCCCCACTTCATTCTGACCGATATCCGAATTCCTCAGATGAAAATGAGAGGAGATTGGATGAATTATGGGTATCTTACCACCTTGAAGCAATGGTAAGGGTATGAAACACAGATCTCGTCTAATTAGCCCCTGTAATTCAATCCTGGGCTCACTCTGTACTAACAGAGTGACAAACTTGGTCTGTGTTCACATATCGTCGTTTCGACCATGTAATGCTACCAATGCATGGGAATTGTCTATTATTCCCACCCAATAAACGTTCACTAGAATAGTCTAGATGAAAAGATTCAATAACATAACCAATAATACTCCGAATAAAAACTTTCTTTGAAACAACTGACGACGTCGATTTATTAAACTTTCGACCCCATCTACCAGATTCCATCATTTGACCACATATGGAGAAGGTTTAGGGGAATAAATTGAGTTGAAAGGGGGCGGCTTTAGATTGTATGTCTATTTTGTTTTTAACGGTTGGGATGTTATTATCGCCAGGATGGAATGCCAAAAGAAGCAATTCGTTATCCATGATTTCCGATTGATTAATGTTAACATTGTAAATCAAGCTGCGACTGTCCCAGTGTAGCAAACTGAGGGCCTTCAATTTCTTCTTCATCTTCGTATTCGATCGATATATCGGACAAAGGTCCAAGAGACTCGATATAGCCTCTTATTCTTCATTCATTTCGGAAAACCATTCGAAAGTTGATTCTGAACCACCTGGGCAATCCGAAAAGAGACTTTGAGTGGAACCTGACTGTAATATTTGGTACCGAATGGCGATTATTGATTCAGAAACAGGAAGCAAGCGCCGTTGAATATCAATAGGATTGGCGCTGGAATTCAAAAATAACCTCCAAGTGCAAACATTTCAATTATTTTCGGAATTGCGGCAGCTCGACAGCACTTGAGAATTTGCCTGGGTCTGGGTCCTGACTAGGATTGGTAGGAAGGGAACCTAAGATATGAAAGGGCGATGATTTCGCAAAACGCTTCGAGGTTGGTTCTGCATGATCCCCTTGCTTGTCAATTTTATGGATGGTTCTCGAGTTCCCTGGAGGGTTGGTCCAATCTGTAGCCTATTCACATCATGGAACATTTACAAGGGATATGCTACCTACCGGGAGGAAACATATGGCGCAGAGTCTCGGCTACATTCCTAATTCTTAACATCATTTTCTACCACTCATGGCATCGAAATTGTTGAAATTAAAGTATCAGGGGAGAATCATATGCTGCGGTGCGGCATGCATAATGGCGCTTGAGTACATGCATACGACTTGCTGATGTAGCTCGCACCGACCGTGTAAGACTTCGTGGATTTGGGAGTTAAAATTGCCGTGAGCGCCTGGGCTCAATTTGCATCGCATTAAATAATTCGAATTTATTTGATTCGTATCAATAGATCGGTATGGAAGCGATCTCGTCATTGTAATGGTGGTGAATACCAGTTTCGGAAGAATGATTGCCCGTCCTGACTTCAACAACCTTCTTCCCGCGAAGAAGTTCCCAAATTCTTAACATATCGTCTTTCAAATATTGAGTATACAAGTGTTCTATTCGTATTGGCGACGTAGATATGTTTTCCCAGGCTGTTGTTATGTTTTGAGTTGCCGTTCCCAATTATTCTGCCAGCCTTGAGTTCTTTGATGTTGTACACATTGGTATCGCGACGGGTCTTCGGTATTTGTGTTTCGATTTAAATTCTTCTGGCGAGAACTTTTTGAAGTCTTTGATTTTGTTCTTGGTGTTCGTCCCTTTTGTATGAGGATGACTTGGTCGTGGCGCCGTTTATAGTTTTTGTCCACTTCTTGGCCATTTATGGCCCCATTGTTCAAACCTTAAAATGCGTTTGTGAGAGAAAAGACGTGTATCGTAGGTCAGGTTTTTAGTATTAAATGTAATGCGTATTGTGTTGAAAACTATATACAATCCAGTTGACTATATTAATCAAGATGATTACGTAATACGCCTAATGCGTTTAGCCTGCTTTCTGTGAGTTTATTGATCTTGCACTTTGTGGTATTGAGTTTCTTATATCGCATTTGACTTTTATAGACCCGAGAGTTTGGTTTCGGAACATTTGATTTGCGACTACTCCTCTATTGGCTTTGTGAGAAGTGCATAGGATGATCTATAAAAATAATGGAGGCACTACAATGTACATTGGCCATGGTTTCAACATTACCAAAGAAATTTATTGTCCTATTGACCACCGACACTATGGAAAACGATTTTATCTTTTCGTGTACCTAGTTCTGAGCTTGTAGACTGCCTCTTCCAAGGTCTTTGATCGTTCTGTGCTAACCCATGTTTAAAAGGAGATATCACGTGGAAATGCGTAGGAAATCGATAATAATCTCATATAGTAACATTTTACATATTAATATCTTAAATGTCAAATTTATAACTAATATAACCTCAACTCAGTCTTTATATTTTCATAAAATAGTAATATTTTAGTCTTTTTCTTTTTCGTTTTAATTATTAGATTTTTTAGAGAATCTAAAAAATATTGTATATTTTAGAGAAAATAATTTTAGTAAGAAAATTAGTTTTTGTAAATTTAGAACTAAATTATAATTTTTGAAAGAATTGAAAAGATTGAAAAGATTAAAAAGATTAAAAGGATTAAAAAGATTAAAAAGATTAAAAAGATTAAAAAGATGAAAAAGATTAAAAAGATTAAAAAGATTAAAAAGATTAAAAAGATTAAAAAGATTAAAAAGATTAAAAAGATTAAAAAGATTAAAAAGATTAAAAAGATTGAGTTTCTTTATCTGAAAAGTTCAGATTTAATTCTTGATTTTTAAAATTAAAATATCATTATAGTAAATATTAGAGGTTTATAATTTGTTTAATAAAAAAGCTATATTAAAAGTTAATAGACTTCTATTAATTACTATAAAAGGTATAAAGATCAAAGTTATAATCTATGACTAATATATTAATGATTTTATAATATAAACTCGATCCGTTTATTATTTTACAATCAGACTATAGTCTTTCATCCTCTTCGACTCCGCTTCTATGTGCTCTAGGAATAAAACTCAAGAAATTATCATATCACTGCTACCTCTCACCACGCTTCGGCAAATGTAATTTATTTCTTCATGAACTGAACCTGTCAGAAGGATAGCTGGAATTCACGAGAGACTGACTACCATTCCCCTGATTTGTATGAGATCTCGAGCCTGGCACTTGTCTAGAGTCTTGCTTATCAGTGGCCATGGGACGACGATTCTGACGCGACACAGGCTTCTGCCTTGAGAGTTGTGGTCGCTGCCGAAAAGTGGAGGATCCATCTTTTTTTTCGTGCACATTACGAGGCGGTAGAGCCGGATTTTCTCTTGTTTGAGGAATAGTGATGCCCTGGTTTTGACCACGAGTTCTTTTCCTGCTGTCATTGAAATCGCTCGCCACGTCACTGTGGACTCTATGAGAATTTGAGCTCTTCTTCTGGATATCTGAAGTTTTGTACTTTTGTCCAGGATGTGAGGGTATTGTAGCTTTGGGGGGAGGCTGGAAACCGGGATTTGCGCCGGTTGCTAGGAAGTTTCCATGTTCAATCTGGCTAAGAAGTGTAAAATCACTTTTCTTTGCTGGTTCCTTCGTTATTGGCTTTCTTTTAAGTCCGTAGTTATTGTGATTTTTGGGAGGTGCCAGAGTAGAGGTTACTTTTGGTCTGGGAAGAGACCTTTGTCGAAGTGGAGTGTTACGTCCGGTAGCCGAGTATTCGTTTGCACCCGATTGATGATCAGCTTCATTCTCTCGGCTTGCTTCGAGATTAATACGGTCAAAGCCCTCGGAGATTTTAGTGACTGTGTATTGATTCCAGTTCGGCTGTGGGTGCTGCAAAATTGGCTCGAGATCCTGTGCTGATGTATATATTGGATCCTCAGGATGTTCTGATTTAATATCTTTAGGCTTCTCTCGCCGCTTCTCTCCACTCGGAGCTCTAATTTGTTGCTGAAACCCCGCGCTATTTGTTCTCATTGTAAATTATACTTTGAAAAATCCGAAAAATAAGCTATTTAATAGAACATGATAGTCGTGATTATGACAGGGAGAGGCGATAACAATAAAAGACTCGTGCGTGAGAAGATAAAAAACACTGTAAATTTTGTCCAAGTGAAGGCGAAAATCTCTCGAGGAAAGATGCCTTTATATATCATAACCAATTTTCTCCGAGTTCCTTTTGCTTGAAAACCCCTCTTTTCCAACAGCTATTTCTTCCAATAAGGTCCATGGCGATACAGGTACAAACCCTTAGAGTGGCCAGCTATCGGGGTGAAATAATTACTTCACAATAAGGCCATTGAGCGGTTCACAGATCCTCATCCTAAAAGTTCTGAAAAGTGACCGAAGACATTTGAGAACGGACTAATGTGGTGTCCATTCAGCAACGAGCAGCAAATTTTACAATGTTCCCCATGCCTTTCATCAGATATTTTGAAAACTTGCGCCACATTATTCATCCACCGCTCTTCCAGTCAACGTGAAAAGGCTATGATGGCCATCACTGACTCATTATCTAGGCCTAACTGACCACTGAGATTCTCCTCTTGACACTTGCTAGAAGCTAATCATAAATACTGTAGGTAAAGACCTCTCCCTCGACTTTCAACTTATAGATAGAAAAGTCCCCGGTGGGGCGTACATTGGAGAATTAAAATTTTGAAAAGCAATCAGACTGAAGATTTTTTCCATGTGATGGCACAAAGATGACAGAGTCTGTATGAGCTACACATCTGGGGAGATGACCGGGTAGATAGTCATGTGATGGACGACAGAGAAGAGCACGTATGAGCAGATATGAGCAGCTAATGATATTGTTCCGCGAAGAGGTTACGTATGCATTACGACTCTCAATCAAGATAAATATAATGGATCCACAACATCTAGTATGGGTTGAATTTTTGTATAAAAGGTTACTCATTTCCATCGCAGCCAAGAATTCTTCACGAGATATATTGGTGAAATCCAAGAGCCATTTGTTCTACCTGCCAATCATCGATACCCGTAGGAACACTGCGGGACCTTCCTTTCGACCTGATGTTGTCGCATTATCCGGGCGTTTCGAGGATACTTGAAGGGTGGAATGAGAATTCTTTACTAATTGGAATTGGATTAAGCGCTTACCAAGATTCATATAGTTCACTCTACATATAGGGGGGTAACATTCAAAGACGACATTATTTTTCATCAAAAGTTTCACAACGTTGATATTCGATCCAATTCATTCAACTTATCAGACTTGGACGAACATCAGTTACCACCTACGGACTGACGTTAAACGTTGGGCGAGTATAAATTCCGTTTGAAACACGAATAGTTCAACAACCAATCGGAGAAAATCAATCAATAGGGCGCTAGAGTCATCCGCCAAGGTATCGCTTGCTGACATTATTGGATAGAAACCACACGTTTTGCTGTAAATGGAAACCCGGGTGTACCCCTGGATTATTAATAAACTTTCGTCACACGTTTTTTCTTTTCCAACCCACCCTGATCCTCATCTAATCTATTTGATTCTACTTCATTTCCGCGATTAGATTGACAGGCTTACTCGATCTTGTCGAGCGTTATACCTTTTTGGAAGGATTGAAAGAGTTAGTGCTAATATAACGGCCTTGGCTCTCAGTCTGTGCAATACGTTATGTGCAATACGTTATGTGCCATCGGAGCATTGATTCGCAAAGCTGCGTATCTTATTTCATTGAAAACCAAACTCTTCATCGAAAGATTGATGTACACTATGGAGCTAGAATTGAGTAGAACAATAAGCGAATCTTTTACTACACAGCCACAAGTGTATCATAACATTCCCAGGCTTCAAAAACTTCATCCAATGCATTATGCTTGGCATACGGAAGTACATCTCGATTGATTGAAAAACCAGATGAACAATGAATCAAGGAGGTCTTGAACACTGGAGATGACGATAAAAGAAACAGCGATATAGCTACATTCGAAACATCAGGAGTAAAATATTACCACACCTAGATCGGAACATTAGATTAACGAGATTGCGGCCACGCCTACAGTTAATCTAAAACGCTCCATGAGCCCCAAAACGTTTCGAAACGCGGGTAATCCTAGTCTTTTTTCTCCAAATTCAATACGCTCCGCCAATTAAATTAATATCGTCTTCTCCCTTTACAAACAATATT